ACAGAAGTAGCTGGTCCCAGAAGAACATAAGAGCCCATTTGTGAATGTGGCTTTTTCACATTCTTCAAAAGGGTTGAGACCATGAATGAAAAATACCAGCAAGAAACAGGGTAGGAAAACATGGCTCAACTTTAAACACAGGGCCCAACATAAGCCAACATAAACTGTGAGACAAAGTCATGATTTTGATTTTCCTTAAGAATGATAAATGATTCATAAAAGTTGAGTGATATCTTTGCCACTCAAGGAAATCTTTACGTGCCAGTTCTTAGAAAGCGGTGTTTTAAGGTACAGACGAGCCAGAATTCTCACTTATTTCTATATTCAGGATTTGCATCCTATTTCCCTGATATAATTTACATTTGGCTACAATAAGAAAGTTCATTAAAACTATGTTACTGATATAATTATTATCAATTAAGTGGTTAACAATGTTAGCATTTAAATGGCTATAATGACATTTCTAGGTTAACACTGCTATTAAGTTGAGTAAGAAAAGCTTTTGCTTCTGTGTTGCTGTCCTACGTCTGAGTCTGTGATCTTCATATGGCAAGATAAATTAACCTTTCCTTCAAAAAAATAAATTTCTCCGTGACTGTAGAGATAGTAGTTTCAGTGAGGAAAGTAAACAATATTCTGAAGAAATCAGCAGAATTTCATAGGCCCTTAAGCCTTCCAGAGCCAACCAATTTTGGTTGCTTCAGGCTTGAATAATTTTATTCTAAATTCCTAAATTTGAGAGGAGAATCTATTCTTATTTTAATATTGCAAAGGGAAGGAGGAATATGAAATCATTCCAACCATATCTAAGAGTATTAGAATAGTATGAAGGTGCCTATATTTGCTGTGTTCCCTCTGAAAGGTACAAAGATGAGAGAGGATTGCTGGTGAGTCACTGTTCTATTTCATCTAGAGACCTGAGCGCTCTCACTCCTTTATTCCCTTAGGGGGTCATGTTCCTCTGCTTAAAAGAATATTGCCTGCTCTCTGAGCTAATGATTTGTTTGGAGGATGGAAGTCTCAGAGGTGAAGATAACTGCACAGCCTTTATAATGTATCTTTCAGATCTTTGATCTGCTTTTTTCTGAATACATGGGACCCCTCAATAGCAAGATTAAAGATGCCTTTTCATAGAAGAAAGGCAAACGTTGAAAACTTAAAAGCTGCTCAGGTTTCCAAATAATATTTTTGTATTTCCTCATTTTGTCAACATATGTTTGGTGAGTGTCGTCCTTCATTCATGTGATAATTGGATGGTAATCGAAATGCACTGTCGGATCATATGTTTTCTAAGGAGATGGGAGAAACTGTGAATGTTGTTTTAAAAAAGGGGTTAGTGAAAACTAGTTTATGATTAGGGCATACATACTTATTTTGAATTCTATTTATTAAGCAAATATTTACTTGGTACCTAGTAGATGTCAAACATTGTGTCTTCTTTTGTAGGGAATACCAAGAGTCAGGACCTGTTTTCAAGAGACTCATACTTTTAATTGGGCAGTTAAGGCAATGACAAAAATGGCCATGGTAGGACACAGAAGATGACCAATGAAAAATGCCTGGAGAGAAATGAATGCCATTCAATGTATGAACAGAGAGAAGAGGCCACGTTCAAGTGTGAGGAGATCAGGGAAGGTTCAGCATTTGAGAAGGACCTTGCAAGATGTGTGAGATTTCCCTGGATGGGTCTGGAGCTGGAACTAAGGCAATAATAAGGTGTAGCCACGTTCAAGTGTGAGGAGATCAGGGAAGGTTCAGCATTTGAGAAGGACCTTGCAAGATGGGTGAGATTTCCCTGGATGGGTCTGGAGCTGGAACTAAGGCAATAATAAGGTGTGTTGTGTGTGTGGGTATGGGGCAGCTGGGAGAGAGAGGGCTAAAAAAGGTCGAGAAGCTTGTATTTAACTAGTAGGCACTGGGGAACCAATGAAGGTTTGTAGGCAGGGCAGAGACAGAATAAGAGCTGTGGTTTAAGAAATATTTTTTGAAGCATCTCAAAGCAGATTTTAGTGTAATCTGAACTAAAAACAC